CTTCCTACCCTCCGGCAGATCGACTTGCCCCAACTTGGCGTCATCTGTGAATTTACTAAGAGTAGACGCAGTGCCCTCATCCAGGTCATCAGTAAAGGTGTTCAGTAAGACGGGACCCAGTACTGATCCCTGGGGGTCATCACTGGTCACCGGACACCAATGAATGTAGCACCATTCACCACCACTCTCTGGGCCTGGTCATCCAACCAGTTTTTAACTCAGTGAACGGTGCACCTGCCCAAGCTGTGAGCTGCCAGCTTTTCCAGGAGGATGCTGTGGGAGACTGTGTCAAACGTTTTGCTGAAATCAAGGTAGACCACATCCACAGCCTTCCCCTCATCCACTAGATGGGTCACCCAGTCATAGAAGGAGATGAAACTGGTCAGGCAGGACCTTCCTTTCCTAAATCCATGTTGGCTGGGCCTGATCCTCCGGTTGTCTTCTACATGCCGCGTGATGGCACTCAGGATGATCTGCTCCATAACCTTGCCAGGCACCAAGGTCAGGCTGACAGGCCTGTAGTTCTCCGGATCCTCCTTCTGGCCCTCTTATTGGCCAGCCTCCAGCCATCTGGGACTTCCCCAGTTAGCCAGGATCAGTGATAAATGATAGAGAGTGGCTTAGCTTCTGCCAGCTGCCTGAGCACCCTAGGATGAATCCCATCTGGACCCATGGACTTGTTGGGATCTGAGCGGCACAGCACTAACTACTTCCTCCTGGATTACAGGAGGGGTATTCTGATCCCTATCCTGGTCTACCAACTCAAGAGCCCAGATGTCCTGAGGATGGACAGGTCTTTTTGTTAAAGACTGAGGCAAAGAAGGACAGCCTGCTCCTGTGCCTTCATAATTTCGTTCTTAAAGTAAGCCCAGCCTTCCTGGGCTCCTTTGTTTTTGAGGGCTGCTTCCCAAGGGACTCTCCGAACCAGCGTCCTGAATAGATCAAAGTCAGCCCTCTGGAAGTCCAAGGTTGAGGTTTTGCTGACAACCTTTCTAACTTCACCACTTATCGAAAATTCTGTCATATTGTCATCACTGTGCCCAAGATGACCTCAAACCACCACGTCTTCCACTAGCCTTTCCCTGTTCATAAACAGCAGGTCTAGGAGGGCACTATCCTGGTAGACTCACCAGCTGCAGCAGGAAGTTGCCATCCATACATTCCAGAAACTCCCTCGATTGCCCTCTTTCTGCTGTGTTACACTTCAGTAGACATCTGGTAAGTTGAAGTCCTCCATGAGAACAAGGGCTAGTGAACGTGAGACATCTCTTAAGTTGTTGAAGGAATGTCTCATCGGTGTCTTTATCCTGGTTAGGTGGTCTGTAGCAGACTCCCACTAGGTATCAGCCTAATTGGCCTTCCCCTTTATCCTTACCCATAAACATTCCACCTTGATGTGTCTAACATTGAATTCTAGGCTGTCAAAGCACTTCTTAACATAACATATGATTTACCATTTAAGATGATGGGTAAAGAACCAGAGAGAATTGGTGACAAAAACACCATCACCACCACCATTTACAAAGTAGGATAATGAGAGGAATACATCAATAAATAAGACCCGGTCTTAAATACACTTCACACCTTCCCACTATCTTCCCGGCTACCTCCCCCCGCCATCAGTGTAAGGGGGGCTGTTATTTACAAAAGCCTGATGTTTTTGTAAATAATGGAGGAAGTCCTTAATCTGAGTAGTCAAAATGGCCCAACCCTGGCTTGTGCCTCAAAGGGGTACCGCTTGCTGGAGATGGAATTCAATGTCAAGGCAATGACTGAAGCTGCAACAGAGAGCACCCAGGGCCAGTGGGGAGAATGTTGACAGTGTTTGACATCTTCAGGACATGATTGGTGAGCTCAGGGTAATGGTGCAGTCTGGAGTAGAGGTTATCTTTCTGAGTGAGAAGTTCTGTGTCAGCCCTCCTGCTTTTTCCCTCCACTTGTCCAGTTGGGACTTGAGCTTTGCTTTGGCTTGTCTGGTGTCACTGATGTGCCCTTCTCATGCTACACAGGCTGAGCGGATCATGGAAGCTATCGAGCTGTATAGAGAAGAGACAGCAAAACTAAAGGAACACAAGGCCGTATGCAAAGCTGCAGGAAAAGAGGTAAAAGGCTGAGGAATGTACCAATCCCAGAGTGTTTTGCATGTATCCTCCCAGCTCGGGTGGAAAGGCTTAGCATGCAGATAAAATCAGGACAGTTAGAAACAGATTTGCTGAAATCTTTTGGAGAACAAAATGGCACTGTGCTATGGGATATGGTTGGTGGTGTATTCTTTCCAATGATCTTTATGTTTAAAGTCACAGTAGGATGCAAGTTCTCTCCCTGGGAGAGCACGCTGCTGAAAATTCATCCCCCAGCTTGTTCTTTGCTTTCATCTCAACACTCCGTGCTAAATAAGGGGCTGTGATGTAAGTGGGAAAAGTGACAATTAGGAAGTGGAAGAAAATTCGTACATGTTTGAGTTAGTCCTATGCATCTGAGAACGAGATTGCAGCCACTAGACAAGGAAGGCCTTCAGTGACGTTCTGGGGAGGGTAGAAGCATGGGAATTGCAGGAAGACACCTGAAGAAAGCCCTCTTCTACCATGGGTTAAAGCTTTCTCTGTGAATATGTATCTGTGCACACACATCTGCCTCGTTCTAACCCATTTTGTGTCTCCAGGTCCCCTTTCCTGTCAATCCAATCCTCCGTGCCTATGGAAATATTACCGTAAGTGGAATGCCCAGGCCACAGGCTGTGGGCTGTTCTCAGCTGGAGTGGGGCTGGTTCATTTGCTGGCTGAGTCAAAACACTGGGTTGTTGCGGGGTAGGAGAACTACCTGGTTCAACCTGAAATGAAAACTCAGTGCTTTTGGTTGTGCAAAGTGAACACGATTTAGGAGTTATGCATTTTTATTTTTTTTTAATATATCTTGCCATGTGTATTACAAAAGTTTAACCCCATCAGGGGTTATTATGTACCTTATTGCAAGCCAGTGGTTTACAGTATTCTCCAAGATACAGGAGAGCTACTTCAAACCTTTCCTGTGCCTAAGGGCTCACCCTCCTGCTGCCAGGAGGGTACAGTTGTCATGCTCTGTCATATTCCAGAGGAGCTGTGCCATTTTACACAGAATACCTGAGCATCCACTGGAATCTGTAACTGGTAACCCATGTCACTGTGTGACATCAGTAAGCACTTATCCAGAACCATTCTCTCCCTTCCTCTGTGAATATGGGCATACTTAATTGCAAGTTGAATAGATTCAAGAAAGAATCAGGGCTGAAAAAATCTGATAGCTCGGTAGCTAGCAATTTCTTTGGAAGGGTGTGATGTTTGATAGAATTCCACTGTACAGAGAGGAGAATCTGAACCGGTTCCCAAAATCTTGAGGAATGTGCTAGTCCCAAGTGCCAGGCTGCTGGGTAGAAACAGCCCCAGGTTATGATATATCCTATTACGTGGTAAACTGACCTTTATGATCATTCAGGATGTCAGACCATGAACAAAAAGCATTGTGAGCTGATAGCCACTTATCCTCTTTTTTGGAGAGACTCTGCATGTGGAACACTTGTCCCTACGTACCTGCTGTGTTCTCCTGACTGAAGAAGCCAGAGCTGGAAGCACATGAAGGCTTCCTGACCCTAAATCCCAGCCTGTGCAGCTGTAGCCACAGCAGGGCAGCTCTGGGCAAGGCAGGCTGTGTTGTAGATGTCCAGGTTTATTTCTGTGGTGTTGGTACAGCAGTTACTGATTCTGATTTACATTAAGAAAATTCTATATGGTAGTTAAATGTCCAGGTATTGCAGGGTAGAGCCTTTACCCACTTGTGTCACACACAATTTTCACACAATTCAGAATTTTTCATTCTGCATAATATGCACACATGGATGCATGAATTTCATTGATAAATAGAAATCCACTGCTCTGAGTAGATTGGTTTTGGTTTTCCTAGTTTATTCCAATGTATACTCCTAGAATGCATTCTTAATTACCCTTAGGAAAATCCTTGTTTTTTCATTCTCCCCTTTTCTGAGGAGTATGTAAATGCTAGATGAAACAAACTCATGCCTTCCTTCTAACCACCTGTAATCACCTTATAAGAACCCTTCTGTCCCTTCCATGATTATGGGTATACTTAATTATAAGTTGAACAGACTAAACAGAAGTCAATGGAATCCTATGACTTAGCTGCTTTTCTTTGGCAATTTTTAGCTCTACTCCGCATCTGCCTGACACTTTCAACAGATAAACAGGAACAGCAGGAACTAAGTCTTTGGGAGATGAGTTTGTGTGAGGATTTATGTGTATAATTTGACTGTTTTGCCATCTTTTTTATTCAGTTTAAGATTCACTGAACTGATTATGAAATAATTTAGCTCGTTGAATATAAATTAGATTTTTTACAATATTGTTCACCAATTTAGAGTTTTCTGAGAAGGCTGGGGTTATGTTTTGGGGAGGGAGATCTTCCAGGACTGGCAGCCAATTGAAGCTAAAGGGGTTTCCTTTTTATTCTGTTTAGCTTGATCTGTCCATTTCACAAGACATGACTGCATGTTTTTAACTGGGTGAAATGTTTGTCCTGGAATGTTTCTTGATGTGCACAGCTGGTATCTTTCCTCTCTTGCAGCCTTCTGCATACGTCCTAGAAGTTTTCAAGAAGGTCAAGTCGAGGTGAGTCCCAAGAGCCTTATTGCTGAACAGGTTTGTGACGAAATGTTGGATTTCTGGGCCCAGGACAATCTGGGGTTCTGGACAGTTTCTTGTACTGGGTATGGGCAGTGCTGGAGAGTGGAGTTACTGTCCCTGACAGCCTCTTTTGGGGAGTGCCTGGAATTAGGGAAAGGAAAATGTTCCTTCCATGGGGAGTGTTGAATGAAGCTTGTGTATGTGTTTTGGCTGCTTGGAGATGCACATGTATGTGAAGAGCAGCTTGGGCATGCTGAGGGGGCAAGATTGTGTGCCTGCTCCCTGTGCCTCAGCTGTAGTCGGTGCAGATGCGCTGCACTTTGTGGTCAGTCACAGACCAGCAGTGATGAATGTCTAGCACAGCTTTTGTACTGAAACCTAACTATACAGAAGTGGTTCCTACTTATCTCTAGCAGTGGAAGACTAATGCTTCTGTCCCTTTGCTTTCTCCTCAGTGAGCTGGAAGAGTCTCTCCTGGTGCTGCCCTTCTCCTATGTCCCTGACCTGCTCAAGCTCTTCAATGAATATATTCAGCTGGGTTCGGAAGTTGAGCTCCTGTGCCGAGCTCTCCTCTTCCTGCTCAAGTGAGTCTTTCATCTGCCCAGACAGATTTGCTAGTCTCAGTTCAGTTGCTGTTGTTGTCTAGAACCTGGACCCGAGGAAGCCCTAACAGGGTTCTGGTCAGGAGTGGACCCACTGGTTCCTCTGGGTCCCTCGTGCTGGTGCATGTTGTGAACTCATTTTGTGCCAGTTACATTGGAGAGAGAGGTGCTTCTTGCTCCTGTGCTGTGAGTCAGGGCATTGAGACAGCACAGAGCTGGGGAATATACGCCGTTTCCTCGAGCTGCAAAGATGATGTCGCTTGCCATGAATGCATATAGCGTAAGAGCGTGGGGAAAATTTGGGCTTTCCCTTATGTCTCTGGGTCTGAAGCTCTTGGGAAACATCCTTGGGACTAAAAATGTGGTCTCTGCAGGAGATAAGGAATCACTGCAGCCAGCAGCAAATGGTGTGTGGGAACAGACTGGCTGGATGTGGAATGCTGACGTGCCCACATAGCGTTGCTGGTCCTGGTCCCAGTCCCCCAAATCTCATTGGTGTGAAAGATCCTGCCTCAAGGCTAAAATGGCACTGTTGACTGGCACAGAGTCATTGTAGAGCCCATAACCTCAGAGAGCCCCTCAGAGGGACGTTCCCCTTGAACCACTGCCTGTTAAAAGAGAAGCCTCAGAAAACAGTTTTTCCAGACGGCTGGTCTGGGAAAGCCTAACTTCAGAAAAATCTGTGTCTAGAACATACAGAGGCTCAGGAGAGGAGTTTTCTGGTGTTTCTAAGAATAATGCTGTGATACATCACTGCCTGCTTTGTTCCCAGGATACATTTTGGGCAGATCACAAGCAACCACATGCTGGTGACAGTGATAGAAAATCTGAAGAAAACCACCATCTCCAGAGTCAGTGAGGCCCGGGTGAGTGTTACAGCCTCCCGACTTCCAGGATCTGGGATAATGGGATGGGCCAGTGTCTGGGAGCATGTGACGTCTGTGGTGTTCAGTGGAGAAGCTGGTTGGGGGTCTGAGCCCATTTCACCTTCCGCCTGTGCAAACAGGCTGCCTTCTCCTTATGTGAGACTTCCCAGTGATGAGCCTGTGCTCATCCTTCCTGCCTCATTTACTGTTTGTTTTCTTGCGAGTTTCTAAATATGCAGGAGGTAAATAAACTATTTCTCTTGGGCTTCTCTGTACTAGTCTCATATACTGCAGACTGTGCATATTCCCAGAGGCAACTTCAGGTGCCTGCCAGCAACTTGTCTTCCAGAAAACATAGTGGATTAGAGCTGCTTCTAAGAGGGAACTGTGGCGAACAGTGCAGGACTGATTTTTCTCCTACTCAGATGAAATTTACATTTCAGTAATGTTACTTTATTTAAATCTGTGGATTGTCTTGCTTTCTTTATTTCTTAGGAGAGGGTAGCCAGTGCAGGACCCTCTGCCCCCTAACAAGCTTGAGATGTGCTCAACAGCATGGTGCTGGTCTGTCTTTACAGGATGTGCTGGGATTCAACATGGCAGGGCTCCAGTACCTGAAGAGGGAGATTGAAGCCAAGGATGAGGTGACATTTTTTGCTGATGCTACTGACCGTTTTGAGGAGAAGAAGAGGAAGAGGAAGAAGAAAGAGAAGATGATCCTTGCAGTGCTCTAGCATTTGCTGCCCAAGACGCAGAGTAGCTGGATGGAGTCGGGTAACCTCAGTGCTGGCCATGGAAGTGTTCTTGTGGCTGAACATCTGTGATGATGTCTGGTGCCTGGGACAAAGGCTGTCCCCTCCCCATGCAGTATAACCCCAACTCGGAATGGCTGTCTCTGAGATGAACTCTCTGTAGTCTGCTGCACATGCATTTGAATGATTTCAGAGGTGGCTGTCAGAAGTATGGGCTTTTCCTCCAGTGGAATGCTTGTTAGGAACTGAGTTGATTTCTCCTGCATAAGAGATGAACTCCTCCGGGCAGCGTTGCATCAGTGGAGTGAATGCAGCACGTGGACTGCTGGTGAGAACATGCCCGACCTAGGGAAGTCAGCTGGCAAGATTTCTTGCTGGTTTGAGACTGCTGGTGGTTTGTGGAAGTGCTCAGAGCCTCTGGGCAAAACTACGTGACTTGGGGATGGGGAAAAGCATGGCTGCATTATATTAAAGGCATTTTTATATATGTTTTATGAGACAACTTTGTTCATGGAGTTTTGTTCTGATATTTCTCTAGTAAAGCATCAACTGCCTTGCCCTCTGTGCCAGTTCTGAAAGCATTTTTTTTCCCAAGAGAGTAAAATCTGTGGGAGCAAAGGAAAGGGCTGCCATCCAGGTTTGTGCTATTCCATAGAGTTGGCAGGCTGAGCATGAGAAGCACAGGTTGTTTGTATTGTACTTGCTCCAGTTTTTAGAAATTGTATTGAATTGTTGCAATGTTGTATTTGTCCTGTATCAGATAAAATCATTTATTTTCACAGTGGGGCAGGATAAAGTGAGCAAGTCTCTGCTGCTGTTGGCAGGTTACTAGTTTGTAGTACATGTTGTCTTTTTCACCAGTAATCACAGGGTTGGTGGATGTGGTGGGGGCTGCTTCTCGGTACTTCGCTGACCGTTGGGACTTACATGTCTGACTCAGGTGCTCAGAGCTGGACTTCTTCCCAACTTAAGCTTCATATGGATATTTAATTGCATCCTACTTGTTACTGACTACTGGCTTTGACTTAGGTTCTCTATTGCTAGCAATTATGCACGAGGCAAATAGTTGAGTTGGTCATAACCACATCTCTTAGATGGTACTGATAACACTGGTAAAAGCTATTATTTAACCCCCAATCATGAGATTCTCAGTCACTGTAAAGTGTTGAGAGAACAAGTCATCTGCATGTATCAAGGAAAACTCTCGGGATGTCACATGCTGGAAAAACGATAAAGCACAGGAAAGCACCTTGCTGGAAATGAATTTATAAAAAGAAAGCAGAACTTCACTTGGATATACAAATACGGTGTCTCACAAAGACACTGAGATGTTCGTTTTAGTCACTCTTGTGTAGGTATGAACAAAGCAGGGGAAAAAAGCCACCTCTGAGTGAGTGACTCAGTCTTCCACTATGAAGAGACGTGCAGGTGAGCATTTCAAGATCATGTCCGAGAGTGAACAGGAGGATTGAGTAGAATCCCTGTCTGTCAGTCCCTCTCTGTCAAGTGTGCCTTCGTGTGCTCCTCATCCCCAGCTGGTGTCTGCAGCTAAACACAGAAATCTAAGCGTATGATGGTGGAAGCAAACAAACTTAGAAGACTAGAGCAGATCAGCAGCTCTTTCTTGAAGAATCACAGCTGACTTCAGTGAAACCTCCTGCATGCTCAGTACTCAAAAAAGATTTTGAGAGCCTCAGCACAGATTATAGAAACCGAATCCCTTTTAAAAACAAAACCTATGGGGAACCATTCAGCAGTCCTCTGAACTGCAGAGTATCAAACATTGTTTGTATCAAACTGTTTGCCTTTCAGGCAGCCACATCGGAGAGCTGTGCAACATTTGAATCAACCACATTTCCCATTAATAGGGGACAGACAAAATATTTATTCACTTTAATCTGATTAATTAAATGAAAAAGTCTATGTTGGGATCTTTCCATAATGTTGGACTAAAATTCGAGTATTTCAGTATTGCTGATTTTCATGGTATGCTTCTAGGGCTCTGACCTGTAGTGAAAGAGAGAAAATTAACATGAAAAGAAAGAAAATACAAACTCCAACTCTACCTTTTTACAGTTCTTGAAGCAAACCCAGTAATTATGTCCAGATTCTTTGCGCTATGATTGCTATGGACTGGCTTCAGTAGAACTGGCCTCTACTCTCATGAACAACATGAGAAAGAGTTCTCACACAGGCTTCAACTAGATTAAGAGTGTGCTTTTATTTCACAAATTGAGTGGCATAAAAACTACGACCACAAGTTCAGGATGGGCAGTCTGTTTTAGGAGCACTGAAGGCTTTCATGGGCAGCTTTCTATGCAGTTATTTAATTTTGAATATATTATGAGAATATTTGTGAAATGTTTTAAATGTAAATCAGTAGTAATTAAGAAAATACAAATGAGATATGTCCAAGTTTGGTTAGGTGGTGCTTCACTGGTGATTTTTGCTTGTTCATCTCTACTAGGAGATGTGGCAATTATGTAATCAGGCCTAATATTGCAAGGAAATTTCTGGGTCTCAACAGAGAGAAACATTGGCTCTGGTGGCCTCACCTGGGAGAGATGATAGGAACTTAAAAGGTTGTCACAGTGCCTCTGCAAAGACTTAACTATTTCTGTGTTGGATGGCTGAACAAGAGTATTAAATCACATACAGGACTTTACCTAGGAGTGTCAGTGTTTCGTGTTTTGTGAGACTAAACCAACCAGTCTAGAGGTCCTTGGCTCTGAGGTGGATATGGTGTGGAGTTCAGATTTGGTGGGGAGGAATATTCAAAGAGGCTTTTTATACAATTGCATGGGTAGCCTGGGGTAGCCAGCTTCAGTAAGAATCATCCATCAAGTGACAAAAAGACTTTGTCAGACCAGACTAAATGGGCCGTACCCATTTGCGTATGGTGACAGCAACTATGATTAGTTGGATTAGCCACATTGGAGGAGAATATCATGTAGTTCATTCCTTTCCACTTGGAGCTTATAACAGGAGATGACATTGATCAGAATTTCTGGTGGGATGGGGGGGTCATCATACTGAAATGTGAACTGAGTGAATACTTCTTTTCATGTTGAAATGGAAGAGAAGTTTGTCTAAATTGCTTTCACTGGTAAGCTCCATGTTATAAGCCTCAAAACTGGAAGGCATTAAATTTGCTGTTCTACCCCGTAATTGCATGTTACTCTGAGGGTAAAATTCCATGCTAGAAAACGTAAGAAGAGACTTGAACAGGATAAAAAAGCTGTGTTTGATGTACCCTGCGCAGGCCTAGAGCAGATGCAGCAATCAGAGTCCCATGTTTCTCCAGTTTCTTTTGAGAACTGACTGATGCAGTCACTTTTTCTCCAGCTGAGAGGAAAAGCTACAGCTACGGTTTCCTTACTGACTTGTTAGATAACATGGCAGACTTACAGATGTTTAAGTTGAAAGAAAAAAGATGATGTCACTGTTACACAGCAAATGGGGACTCCTGAGAAGAAACATCCAGAGTACTAGGTGAGATGAAACACCAGCCTAGTGTTAAACATGTTGGCTGGTGGTTTGAGGAGAAATTCCCACTACAACTTTCTTGTTGGCAGGGAAGACTTATCCATTGTCTGTGTAGTCTGATTCTCTAAAGTTACAGAAATGTGCTACATGAAACAATGTGTGCAGAAGGTTGTGTGCGCTTGAACTTGTTACTGTTGCTCTGCCTATGTGTAAGACACTTGTCTTATTATGGACTTCCTGTCAGTATCCAAGGGTCAGCAGTAAGACTTGGTTTTAGCAAGTGAAGAGTGTTAAAAGAGAGGCTGATTTATTAGGGCTTAACTGTCTTATATCCAGCTTCTTGCTGCCAGGAGGGTCAATGTCTTGTCTAATGTGGAGACAGTGAAGGATTTGAGACTGGACTGGGGAGGCTCTGCTGTGAGTGCCTCCACTGAGCTGAGCTGCTGTAATAATCTGTAAATCTCTTGCAGTGAGTCCTTTGGTTAATGTCATCCAGTGCTTCCCTTACTTGTCTCACGTCCTTGTGTCTGTGTGCATGACAGCCTTGCTGTCAGATATGTGAGGTTTATTGATGATGTGGATCAGAAGCCAGGAGGAGGTAAAACAACTGTAACATACAGCTGGTATCACTGCATCCAGTACTTACATTAACTGGAAAGCTTTCGGGGTAGCGTAATCCGGAACCGCGGCTTGGAGCTTGTAGGAACTGCCCGGACTGTTGGTGCCATCCCACCCTGAGGGTATCCTTGTGGGCGGCACTCATAAACATCTTTGGCTAGCACAGGTGGAATATCATGTTAAGGATCTAATCATTGGCCTACATTTCTGTAATTAAAACAATACGTGTGGAGGCTGGAATGAATCCTGGGAATAAGGCTGTGAAACAACTTGAATCTGGACTGCTGTCCTCAGCTCAAAGATTAAGGGCCAGGTAAAACACTGGGGAAGGACACACATTTTGGAGGCTGGTCCACAACTGTGTGGTCTGAGTACTGGGGTGTGTGGGAACACAGCAGGAGCTGGTTTTGCTGGTTCTGCAATAATGGGGATGGAAGACTTCTTTGAAGTAAATTTGGGGAGTTTCAGTGTGACTTGCAGAGCATATAAAGACTCACTGGAGTTGCTGTTAGCTAGTACTCTGGTCAGTCTTCAAGAGCCCTGAAGTCCTCCTTTTTTTGGTAAGGGTGACCCTTATCAGAAGTGGAGTTTCTGGTGTGTTTGAATGCACCTTGCTTTGCTATTTCTTTTACAGGTTTCCAGAAACCTCTTGTCTCAGGCTTTTAAGTGTAAATTTGATTAAAATTCAAATAGAACTTCACCCTCTTCTGAACTTGCCCTTAAAAATAGTTTCTGGAGCACAAGGAAAAGAGAGGTGATAGTTCTTGACTTTGGTGTGTTCTTTTGCTCTAGCACTGCCCTCAGTTAAACAACTGAAAAGCTCACTGAGCCCACACTGGGCTGATTTCTAACAGCATTCATGTGCTTGTGTCTCTGTTGACACAAGGATTCTCTTAATTTGTCTGTTTAGTATCCATGATGACACCTGATTTTGTTGCTCATGAGGCTGTTCCATCGGATACTACTATAG